CAAAACAAATCTACTCAAACATCATAGGATAACCATAGATCATTGGGAAATAATATATGGAGTTGAGCACCATGTTTAAGTAGAGATTACAACGGGGTAAAGAGGTGTTACACCGCTTCATAGAGGGGGAGAAAGTTGGTGTTGATGGTAGCAAGGTTGTTGATGTGGATCGCCGTCACGATCCTAGCCCCGGTGGCGTTTCGGCGCCACCGGGAGAGAGGGGGAGAGAGCCCCCTCCTTCTTCTTCTTCCTTGGCCTCCCCCCTAGATGGAAGGAGGGTTTCCCCTCTGGCCCATAGCCTCCATGGCGGCAGAGGGGCGGGAGCCCCTCCAAGATTGGATCTCCCTCTCTGTTCTCTTCTGTTTCGCGTTCTCCAGATCTGGCCGAAAACCATTTCTTATATTCCCGGAGATCCGTAACTCCGATTGTGTTGATCTTTTTACACGATTTTTTCCTCATATAAGCTTCCTTGCGCCTGAAATACAGCTCCAACCGACGTACGAGGTGGGCACAACCCACCACGCCACGCTTGGCTCCTCTGGCGCGCCTAGTGGGTTGTGCCCACCACGGGCCTCCGTTTGCAGTGATTCCAACTCCTAAAAATTACAAATATTCCAAAATAATTCTCCGTGGAGTTGAATCACATTTGAACTTCGTTTGACATGGATTTTATGTGATATAAAAATAGGCAACAAACAAGAGCTGGCACTGGGCACTGGATAAGTAAGTTGGTCCAAATAAATCATATAAAAAGTTGCCAAAAGTATGTAAAGGTTTAATAATATTGGCATGAAACAATAAAAAATATAGATACGACGGAGATGTATCACATCATCATGCAACTAACTTATTAGTCACATTGCCTGCAAGGCTTCATATGATGTGCATTACCGAGAGGGCCCAAATATACCTCTCCGATACTCGGAGTGACAAATCCTAATCTCTATCTATGCCAACCCAACAAACACCTTCGGAGATATCTGTAAAGCATCTTTATAATCACTCAGTTACATTGTGACATTTGATAGCACACAAGGCATTCCTACGGTGCCCAGGAGTTGCATAATCTCATAGTCTAAGGAATATATATTTGACACGAAGAAAGCCGTAGCAATAAAACTGAACGATCATTATGCTAAGCTAACGGATGGGTCTTGTCCATCACATCATTCAACTAATGATGTGATCCCGTTTATCAAATGACAATTCATGACCATGGCTAGGAAACTTAACAATCTTTGATCAACGAGCTAGTATAGTAGAGGCATACTAGGGACATGATGTTTTGTCTATGTATTCACACATGTATCAAGTTTCCAGTCAATATAATTCTAGCATGAATAATAAACATTTATCATGAATAAGGAAATCTACAATAACAACTTTATTATTGCCTCTAGGGCATATTTCCTTCACTCTCCAACTTGCACTAGAGTCAATAATCTAGATTACATTGTAATGAATCTAACACCCATGGAGTCTTGGTGTTGATCATGTTTTGCTCGTGGAAGAGGCTTAGTCAACGGGTCTGCAACATTCAGATCCGTATGTATTTTGCAAATCTCTATGTCTCCCTCCTTGACCAAATCTCGGATGGAGTTGAAGCGTCTCTTGATGTGTTTGGTCTTTTTGTGAAATCTGGATTCCTTCACCAAGGCAATTGCTCCAGTATTATCACAAAAGATTTTCATTGGACCCGATGCACTAGGTATTACGCCTAGATCGAATATGAACTCCTTCATTCAGACTACTTCATTTGCTGCTTCCGAAGCAACTATGTACTCCGCTTCACACGTAGATCCCGCCACGAAGCTCTTCTTGGAACTGCGCCAACTGATAGCTCCACCATTCAATAAAAATATGTATCCGGGTTGTGACTTAGAGTCATCCGGATCAGTGTCAAAGCTAGTGTCGACGTAACCATTTACGATAAGCTCTTTCTCACCTCCATAAACAAGAAACATAACCCTAGTCCTTTTCAGGTACTTTAGAATGTTCTTGACCGCTATCCAGCGATCCCCTCGTGGATTACTTTGGTACCTCCCTGCTAAACTTATAGCAAGGCACACATCAGGTCTGGTCCAAAGCATAACATACATGATAGAACCTATAGCTGAAGCATAGGGAATTCCTTTCATTTTCTCTCTATCTTCTGCAGTGGTCGTGCATTGAGTCTGACTCAACTTCACACCTTGTAACACAGGCAAGAACCCTTTCTTTGACTAACCCATTTTAAACTTCTTCAAAACTTTATCAAGGTATGTGCTTTGCGAAAGTCCTATCAAGCATCTTGATCTATCTCTATAGATCTTGATGCCCAATATATAAGCAGCTTCACCGAGGTCTTTCATTGAAAAACTCTTATTCAAGTATCCTTTTATGCTATTCAGAAATTCTACATCATTTCCAATCATTAATATGTCATCCACATATAATATTAGAAATACTATAGATCTCCCACTCATTTTTTTGTAAATACAGACTTCTCCAAAAGTCTGTATAAAACCATATGCTTTGATCACCTCATCAAAGCGTATATTCCAACTCCGAGATGATTGCACTAGTCCATAACTGGATCGCTGGAGCTTGCACACTTTGTTAGCACCTTTAGGATCGACAAAACCTTCTGGTTGCATCATATACAACTCTTCTTTAAGAAATCCATTAAGGAATGCAGTTTTGACATCCATTTCCCAGATTTCATAATCATAAAATGCGGCAATTGCTAACATGATTCAGATAGACTTAAGCATCGCTACGGGTGAGAAAGTCTCATCGTAGTCAACTCCTTGAACTTGTCAAAAACCCTTCGCAACAAGTCGAGCTTTATAGACAGTAACATTACCATCAGCGTCAGTCTTCTTCTTGAAGATCCACTTATTCTCCATGGGTCGCCGATCATCGGGCAGATCCACCAAAGTCCACACTTTGTTCTCATACATGGATCCTATCTCAGATTTCATGGCCTCAAGCCATTTATCGGAATCTGGGCTCATCATAGCTTCTTCATAGTTCATAGGTTTGTCATGGTCAAGTAACATGACCTCCAGAACAGGATTACCGTACCACTCAGGTGTGAATTGTGCTCTACCAGACCTACGAGGTTCTGTAGCAACTTGATCTGTAGTTTCATGATCTTTATCATTAGCTTCCTCTCCAGTTGGTGTAGGCATCACGGGAACAGATTTCTCGGATGAGCTACTTTCCAAATTGAGAGCAGGTACAATTACCTCATCAAGTTCTTCTTTCCTCCCACTCACTTTTTTCGAGAGAAACTCCTTCTCTAGGTTCGATAAACCTTGGTTGTCACCGAGGGAAAATACTTATATCTACTGTACTCATCTTCCTTCCTCTTCAGGGAAAATCCCAACACAACTCACAAGTAGCACTAGGGCAGCTCGCCGAGATGGGCTGAGGTGTCCTCGAGACGGTACGACCACTCGGGCGAGGACAATGTGGACACCAGCGACGAGGATGGCGAAGCGAGGGCAGTGCATGGCGTGGTGGTGACGTTGATCGGGTTAGCGAGATCAGATCACATGTATTTGTGTTTTTTCCTGGAGGTAGCGATCGTTGGGTTATCTAGCAGGACATGCGGGGTGGTCTGCTGGCAGAACATTTGATGTGGACCATTGATCTGATTGGCAGATCATTAATGTAACGTGGACACTCGGATATGACTAAGTTGTTTGATCAGACGCACGTGGTTATCCTGTGTGCACTTTGTGGTGTAGTTATTGAGAAATTTAAATTTGCTCTTTAATAGTAGTGTAGATTTCTGGAGGTAGGGATCGTTTGGTTATCTAGCAGGACGTGCGGGGTAGTTTGCTGGCAGAAAATTTGATTTGAACCATTGATCGGATTGCAGATCATTGATGCAACATGGACACTTGGATATGACTAAGTTGGTTTGATCGAACACATCTAGTTATCCCGTGTGCACTTTGTGGTGTAGGCCTTGTCCGGTTTGGAGGATTTTAACAGGAAAAACATAGGAACAAGGATTCCAGGAAAAAATTACTACATATGCATTCAGTTTGTAGGAAATACATATAGGAATTTCATAGAAATACCGTTAATTTCCTGTGTTTTTGGAGGAAACTACATGGCTCATTCGGTTTGAAGAAAATCAAAACGCAGAAATTATGAGTAGTATAGGAATTTGATAGGATCACACTTGCCATCTTAAGAATTTGACATGCCTCGTTTCTACGCGCAAAATGAGCTTTGAATGGATGTGTAGTTTTCCTAAAAACACAGAAAATGAGTAGTACTCTTAGGAAATTCATGTACGCATTTCCTATAAACCGAATGTATATATAGGAAATTTTCCTTCAGAATCCTTGCTCCTATGTTTTTCCTACGAAAAATCCTCCAAACCGAATGAGACCTCAAAGCTTATTTTATGCATAGGAATGAGGCAAATCAATTCTTTAGGATGATAAGTGTCATCCTATCAAATTCTTATACTACTTTTAATTTCTACATTTTTGGTTTCCTCCAAACCGAATGATGCCGTAGAGTTGTAGTGAAGATTTACTAGATTGTTCCTGTTTGGATCCACGGGTTAGAGTTAGTTTGAGTTAGTTTAGACCCAGCTAATTCAAAAATATCCAAACAGGCTAACCCACCCAAAAGGTGCTTATTTGGGTTAGTTCTTCTCAGGACCACTAAAAAACACATTTTCTCTCGTTTTCCCCGTAGCAGATCCCTACCCACTTCCTTGAAGCTACTCGTCCTCTTCCTTCCTCCCTCTCGCATCGTCCGTGAAGTCGCCTTCCCGTATCCGTGCTTCATCTAACCCTGTTATTCAAACACCTCTTTGACTAGAATTAGTGAAGGCGGGCCCTAGAGCCGTCACCGCCTGACCATCGTCGTCTAGTATTGAACTCCCAAATTCCTCGATAACACTTTGCAATATTTCGCCTTCTTCCTCCCCGCGCCCTAGCCTTCGATCCACCCCCAAATTCGACCCTCCCTTCCACTCCCTCCTCATCGTCATGGCGTCAGACACCGAGGGCATAGCCGCGCTGTTCTCCATGTACAACGATGACGACGAAGAGGACGCCGACGAGCCCGGACCTCCTTCCCCGCCGCCGCCCGCTGCGGCAGCCTCCCCCTCCACGTCACCTCGAACCGGAGGTGAGAGCTCCAACCCTAACTCGAACCCCAACCCTTCGCCGGAGCACTCGCCCCCTCCCCTCCTCGAGGAGCAGGCCGGCCGCAAAACCCTAGCGAGCCCCCAGGTCTCGCCGGCGCTTCCGCCGCTGCCCTCGCGCCGTTCGCCCCTGCCCTTCGCGGTTTCGTCCCCCTCCCCATCTCGCCCCCCGCTGTCCGCCCCGCCGCCCGATCTACCGCGGCCGCCACGGCGCGGGTCGCTTGCTATAGTGGACTACGCGCATGACGAGATGGCAATGTCGCCTGACCAGGAGGTAGAGCTTGGGGAGTATGTCATTAGTAATCCTTGGCTGTATTCTATTGCTTTTCTAAATTAACGATGACGTTGTTACTTGCGGTTTGGTTGCAGGACGGGGAGATCATGAGTGGCATAGGCGGTTTGGGCTCGGATGCTCAGGATGCTGAGGGTAAGCATGCTGTATAATTGTGATTAATGTGCCTGGTTAGTTTGATGAAATGGTGGCACATAGAGTTTTACTTTTTCAATGTTGCCGATTGCTATGGGTGTTGGTGCTTGTGGTTATGCCTCAAGTATACATCTTATGCTATCAGAAGAACACGAATTAGAGATATGGTGAAATGTACCAGTGATGTCAGTTGGATAAGGCACACTAGAAAACATGAAACACTACTAGCTGTGGTTGGAAATCTGAATGGAGTATTATCATTTATTCATAAGACAGTAAGATGGAAATCTCTTCCTTTAGCGATGAGTCAATTAAAATAAAAAACTGTAACATTTGATTATGTTATATTTGCTTAAGTTGTTCGCTGAAGAGTCATGTTAGTACACAGCTTTTCGTGTTTTGAATGTGTAATTTCTTTTTGGGTTAGACACTTAGATGACGCACATGTGATCCAGATAGCAAATACACTTTATATTGTTTGTGGCAGAAGTCCATAAAAGCTACTGATATCTGATGTGCTATCTGCTTCAGATTTGTACCTGATATCTCATTTCATCGCTAATATTTATAATACATGGTTTCTTTCGTAATGCTCTAGTACAACTGCATATTGCATGCACGGAAATAATTCAAACATCGAAACAAGTATTTAAATCATCTAGCAGTAGTCAAATCACTGAAACTGCAAGATAATGTTAACTTGTGTCAAAATGAGATGAAATAGGTGACATGCGGCATAAATTATTCTCTAAACCGTGTAGATTTTTTCCTTGTGCCAAAATGTTTGACGTGGGAAGTTCTGAAAGTGTTTAATATTTCTATTATTCTATATACAGAATATTTGTTGACAAGTATGACCTGAAGAAGAGCAAAGGCATAGCTGGAACCATGAAAATAGAGAATGCTACAGATATTCTTATTTCCATGTGTTAGCATTTGATTATTTGGCTACTAATAACCTCTGCAACAGATTTGTAGGTTCTTTAATCTTGTCCAGAGTACATTTGCTTGCTACCTCAAACTTGGAACACTTTGGGTTTGTTTGGATTGTGACCAAATAGTACCTTATTACCATTTTTTTTTGGCTATGACCAAAATATTGGTCTTTATCTGGATGAGTGCCAACTTTTTGGCATGCAATGCTCCTTTCCCATCTATAGTTCATTTTTTTAGCCAATGTTGGCCAATTTATAGGCGAGCAAAACATGAACCAGAATTGTGATCATCAGTAAATACCAACAGATGTGCAGTAAACAAATGGGAACTCTTGATATTATGTTGGATTTCAATTCTGGTGTTGCTTGACGTACATATTTCTGTCATGCATAGAAGTGTTTTAAGTTGAACGTATTGTTCGCCTTTTGTGCAAGATCAAATCATAACAGCCTCTACACTTCTTTTCATGTGCGCTAAATTGTATGCATTCTATTTTATTTTTATTATTGGAACGCTTGATATTATGTTTGACTTCACTACTGGGTTTTCTTGACGTACATATTTCTGTCATCTATAGAAGTGTTTTCAGTTTAGTTACTGGCTCTCTTCACCTTTTTGTGGAATCATTACAACATCTACGCTTCAGATTTTATATCCAGTCTGCTTTATATTTCTATCCTATCTTGTAGGGATTCTTGAAGAAAGAATTCTCTCAGGTACTGTTAATATTCTCACCCCAAAAGTCCTATCAGAAACTTCTCAGCATTTGGATGCACCTGAGCAGAACCAAATGGGGGCAGATGTTCCAGTGGATGTAACTGGAACAGAAGCTGAAGATGCTAGGGTGGAGGAAGCTTCTGATATTTCTACCAATGTTCACAATGATGATCCATTGAGCCGTTTTCTTCCTCTGCCCGTGTCTACAAAATGTTCTACAGCATTACAGGTTATCTTTCGAGCAAATAATTATCCCCACACTATTTTCAGCATTAAAAAATTCATCATATTTCTCATGCAGAACATACAGCTCCCTTCTGGCAATGTCATTATTTGTGTAATCTGAAATGGTGAAAATAGTCTGTTGGTAGACACGCTGACAACTGTTTCATATATTTTCACCCACCCTGTGCATTTTAAAACCGAACCGAAAAACCATACCGAAAATAAACCAAACAGAACCAATTTTATGGTATTTATGGTATGAACTTTTCATACCCTTTTGAATTCTGGTTTTTATGGTATATACCGAAAAACCGAATGGTTTACTGAATAAACCGAAGTAAAAAATATGTGTATATATCTTGGGGAGAACAACCATACAAGTAGTCATTTTTTGTACATAAGCTAGATTTCATGTTAAGCGCATCCATTTTTCTTGTAACGTAGTCATACTTTTCTTCAAAAGAATGGTAAGCACATCCATAACCATCGAATCCATGCATGCATATACACTCGCATATAGTTATATACTCTTTGTATAAAAAGATATGTGTTTCGAGTCATAAATTTGCAAACTATTATATGTCATCTTCAAATTCGCGTCAACTTTGGTTTTTATGGTATATACTGAAACCATACCGAAATAATTTGGTATATACCGAAACCGAACCATATCTAAATTTCATACCGTACAAACCAAAAAACGGTATAAACTGAACCATGTAAACCGAATAAACCGAATGCACAGTGAATTTTCACACCACTTCCTGCAATACGATATTTCTGAGATACCTTTTTTTTGTACTTACCGTTTCTTTTTTCTAATGCATAAATAGATCTACAAATTGTTCAGGCAGCCTATTTGTGATTATGGTTTCTTAAACTTTTGATTATTTCTTGTGCACTCATGTGGGTCTTTTTTCATGTTAACTTTAACTTATCGTAGTATGACGGCTTTCCATGTGATACCCATACCACTTGGAATGCATGTCTACATCCTTCACACTTGTTCTTGTTTTTACATGAAAATACGGCTGTAAATAGTTACTCATGTTCCACTGTTTTCCTGCAGCAAAGGATTAACAAGTTCCTTGGATACAAAAGGTCTGGAAAGAGCTTTAATGCTGAAGTGCGTAACAGAAAGGACTACAGAAATCCTGACTTTTTGCAGCATGCTGTGCGGTATCAAGAAATTGATCAGATAGGGACCTGCTTCAGTAAAGATGTTTTCAATCCATATGGGTACGATAAAAGTGACTACTACGATGAGATAGGTATGCTATAGTCATGTTTGATCCAATATGCTATCCTTTTGGGCCACGTCTTCCGTTTTGAAAGATAATTGAACATCTGAGTGTAGCTTCCATGTTCATGTATAATACTAGTACCTATTTAGTCATGCAAATGAAGTTGAAATCAATAGAAGCTCCACTATGGCGGCCATCTGGGATGTGATTGCAAAGGAACATGCACACTGCTTTTAATTTTTGAGTGTGTGCACTTGCTTGTAAGGCATATCGAATCCCATGACCCTCCAGGTTGCCTCAAATTTCCAAGTATGCCGGGCTTGATTAGCTATTGAAGATCAAAGAAGTTGTGGACAATCATGAAGCTGTCTGGAGTGTTGTTTTTATTTTATAGTAAAATATAGAGAACCCCATGTACTTGTCGCATACGCACTACAAAGCCACAGTTTCTTTTTTTTGGGCTTGTTCTAACAATATTCACCTAGAACAGGGCCCTTGTTCTCCTGTTAATCATCATAAGTTCACACTAGAAACTAGATCAAACCCTGTATTAGTAAATAACAATCAGCTATGAATTAAAACAAGGAGGATGAATCATGGCATTTGATCAATCACCACCCAAACTCCTGCTTATAAGTCCAAAACACACCACATGCAGTCTATACCGAGCTCAAGAACTCTGCAGCTTGACCACACCAACTCGTTGCCCTTCAGTGGTGATTGCAGTGGTGCCCATCTGGTCTGTGCACCACTTTATGATCAATACCGCCTTCCCATTTCCTACTTCCCTTCCCTACCATGCGCCTCGTCCAACCACCCTCTTTGAGCCATTTCCATCATGATCTTCCTCTCCAACCTTCATCTAAGCGTCTTCTTGGAACCACCTCCCTTAACTCGTCCAGCCGCCCTCATGATTGCTGCCTTTGTCAAGCGCTTACCGTTAGGTCCACCGCCAGTGCCACCTTAAGCGCCATGCGTTTACACTCCATCTGTCCTTGCTGAGCGCAGTCACCCATCCATGTGACACCAGCAAGGAGTAAGGGTAACCTCAGTCAGCTATTTGATTGGGAGCAATTCGGCAGAGAAGGGTTCGTCTGGATGTACTCTGAGAGCATGCCCCTGCACCATGCACGTGATAGGTGCTGTTGACCTTCATCGCATGTTCGGTATGCCATTGTGGACGGTACAATCCACTCCAGTGTTGCACAAGAAATGCTATGGAAGGCTGGTGAGCCACCGGACATGGTGTTGACAAGCCGCCTGCCCAAGGCGGAGGGGCTCAGGTTCTATGGAACCGTGTTTTGAAAATTTCAGACTGAACCCCAAAACCATGGCCGTATCTCTTCTTCGCTATGCCCATCCATCCATGTCTCAAATTCAAATCCTGCAACCTTCCCATGATTGTTTTAGTTGCTTCGCAGCATCCCTGCTGGCAAGGCTGCAACTCTCTCCCTCCATTTCACTCTCTTTTTTCTCGCTAGACCCGTGCAGCGGTCAAATTGCACATAAGCTTGTCCATAGATCTCCCATGCTGTGTGGCTAACTCCTCAGCTTTTTGGTGGTTCTGTACCAACGCAAGGGCGCTGAGCTAGCCAGGGAAAAAGAACAAGCTGGTTATACAGGTCCCGGTTTGTTTAGACGTTCCTGGTGTTTGTTTAGACATTCCTGCTGAAAGTGCTGCAGCACAGCATACAAACTCAGAAGAGGCTGTCATGGCAGGTTACGAGTAGGCCAGGATCAAGCCGATTCAAGTTATGGTAGGGTCGAGAGGAGATTAGAAGTAACTCGTTGGAAAGAGTCCAAGCTGTCTTTTCCTTGAGTTTGAAGACATGCCAGTCGGCCTCGTATCTTTTGTTTCTCAAGCAATAAGAAATCCCTCTTCCTGGATGCTGCCCTCGACCTTCTGAACTCTTGTACCTTTCCCCGCTGTACCCGTCCTTCTGAACTCTCATACCTTTCCCCGCTATCCTCTTCCAGATGGGTTATACACCTAGTGGTAAGTCCTTAAGTGCATATGTTCTAGTCCTAACCCTAGGTGTTCTACTACGGCCAATCCATGCTTGTTCTTTGTTTGTTTTGTGTCTGTATTCTTTTCTAACATTTTATTTAGTTTCAGATTTGTTTCATTTTTTTTTACCAAACATCTCCCACTCACCACCTTCTATCCTGGTTGTTGGTGAACTATCCTTACAACCCGTGTGTGTGCATTTGTTGACAGTGAATCTTTCAGTTCTTTATGCTTTGGTCTTATCCAATGAAGTATAGTCCAATCACGATCTTGTATGTGCCGCCAATTTGCCTACAGAAGCTGATATGAAGCGTGAACTTGAGAGGAAGGAACAGGAGAAGAAAAGAAATCCAAGAATTGATTTTACTAGCTCTGGAATACAACCTCCAATCAATCCATCAATAGCGAAGATTTCAGGTACATTCGCATTTTTTCTTGCGAGAAAAAAGAAGTGTGCGTGCTTTATTTTGACAAACTATTACCTTCAGGCAATCTTGTATTTCTGATTCACATCTGTATGTTTTGCAGCCGCCATATCAGCAGCAGCTGTAGCTGGTGTATCGGTTCCGGCATCGGCAGATACTGTACAGAAAGAGGCTAGGCCAAACAAAAAGTCAAAATGGGATAAGGTTTCTAATTCCCTCGCTCAATGCATTTACCTTCTTTTGGAATCAACATTTTTATGACCGGCTTCTGTTTTCTGTTATTAGCTAGGTTGATGGTGATACTAAGAACCCTGCAGCTGCTAGTGGACTTGACAATCGGTCAGCAGCCGGTGGATCTGCCACACTTTTGACTTCTGAAAATGCTGGTGCTGGTGGATATGCTGCTTTTGCGTAAGTTCTCTTCTCTCCACACAATTATTTCCTTCATAATCTGTTATGGCACATGTTGTTCCTTAATAGTCATATTTTTGTTTGTCTGTTCCTGCTGATCAAAATATGCTTGCCAATCAGATTAACCAATGGAAATGTTCATAGCTGTAGCCCCGTGTGCTTTTATATGCTTGTTTTTTTCCTGATGAAATCTGCCTACTTATCCACGCTGTTGTAGCATAATTGTAATGGTACCAAGCTGAACTTGATGTTGAAATTGTTAACTTAAATTATTTAATGAACATTATTAATGCGACAATGAAGAGTTCAGCTTATTTTTTAGAGTTAATTACACAACCACAACTTTAGGTATCCCTTTTACAGTTCAGCACAATTTCTGGACCTCTTTTTTCAACAACAACAACAACAAGAACAAAGCCTTTAGTCCCAAACAAGTTGGAGTAGGCTAGAGGTGAAACCCATAAGATCTCGCGACCAACTCATGGCTCTGGCACATGGATAGCATGCTTCCACGCACCCCTGTCCATAGCTAGTTCTTTGGTGATACTCCAATCCTTCAGGTTCTCTGGACCTCTTTTTTCACAGAACCACAAATTGTAGTCTGAACTTTCATGGATGACCCAAATCAGCTGTTTTTTGGATGTTTGAGAGCAAACCTGACAAGACGAGTCCACCCGTCTGTGCTAACATGGATGGCCACATGTATAATAGAGCCCAGTTCTTTTGCCAGAATCTGGGGATTCTCCTAGAATCCGACCCCTACCCGGCTTCTCCCAGAATCTTTGAGCCCCATTTGTTTTACAATCCTATCTAGTTAGGATCTAATTAGACAGGATTGTAAAACAAATGGGGCTCAAAGATTCTGGGAGAAGCCGGGTAGGGGTCGGATTCTAGGAGAGTCCCCAGATTCTGGCAAAAGAACTGGGCCTAGAGGTGATATGGGGCCTACCTGCAAGCCTTCTCTCTTGTCTCTCCCTCCCAAGGCTGAATCCCTGTCTGCTCGATGACCTCTCTCCTTTCCTCCAACCTCAAGCTCCTTGGCGCTCCACCTCCTCTTTCTCTGATCTGTTGTCTTGTTGCCACAGACTTGTTCTCCGACGTCTGCTATGTTCGAGTCCGCCGCCCATCCACAACCATCTCCACCTCCCCAGCCTCCTTTCGACAATCATCCGAGCTTCCAGCGTGGGACTTGGAGATGGAGGACAACCTTGACCCAGCGCCACCACTTGATCTTGAGTGCGATCCCTGTCACCAGTCCCTTTGCTGCCTCCTCCGCAGGTTCAGTTTGCTGCTACAGCCGGCCACTGGCCCGATCTGATATGACGGTGGCGGCACGATTGCAACAGAGAGCAGAACGGCATGGTGGCGTGTGTCGGTAGTGGTGGCGGGTGGCCTGATTGTGAGGTGGGCTGCTCTGTGTCGTGCACATACGCATGGGAGGCACAAACCTACTCGGCGGCTCCTACTTCACTGTCTTCTGTTGCTATGCCCTGCTGCTCATGTACACTGGGGACCTAGTCTGCAGACACCACGGGGCTGTTTGGTTTGTTCCCATGTCCGCCCTGCCAAATCCTGGGCGCTGTTGGCATGCCAAAATATTGGCGAGGGATTCGGCCTCTCGCTTTTCTGCCAACGATTTGGTGCAAGAGCAGCGGGAGGGAGCTGAGGCTGGCCGGCGCACCAAAATTTTGGAGGCGATCCAAACGGCCAGCCGAAGCCTGGTCAACGACCGATGTTTTGGCTGGGCAGCTCAAGGCTCCAAACCAAACAGCCTCCACACCAACTGCTGGCACACCATCTCGCTATGTTTTTCTTCACGACTTGGCTTTGCTAGAGCCTGGATAGAAAGATGATAGGAGGAAGCAAACAAAGGGAAGAGGGAGATGAGAGGCTGGCCTGTGGTTCCCACATCCACTTCAGCATATCCCATGCGAGCGTCCACACAAAGCGCTGGCGAGTGGACCCATCATGTCATGTTTTTTTTTCAACATGGAATTGGCCGGTTTGGGTTACTTGTATAAAGATTAGTTCAGAAGTTGTGTTTTGTGAAAACAAGTCCTATAGCTGTGGTAAATTGCTAAGGGGGGCCCTGAAGTTGTGGTTTTGTGCAATTATTCAACTCTGAACCATGATAACTACATGCGGATTTGTTTACTTGAACTGCATAGTTTATAAGAACGACTTGTATCAAGATAGATTGCAGCAACCTTTAATACTATCCATTTTCGTTATCTTTCTGGGCATCATGTCAAGTAACATGGTTCTCTTATTTATTTTCAGGCAACAGAAGAGAAAAGAAGCTGAAGAAAGGAGGACAAGTGATTACAAGTCAGATAGGAGATCATAGCTGTTCTATTTTGTTATTTGATTGGGAGATTTCGGATTGCATAGTTGTGTAATCATGTAATGTACAAACAAATTTTGTAGTTGCTGCAAGGGACTCCTGAAAAAAAAAATCATATGCGCCAACACGAATGCATTAAAAGAACTGGGAGCACTTTCCCCCTATAGATCAATGCTAAGCTTGTCGTAGCTGTGGTTCTTACTCTACCCTAATTGACTGTTCTGGCGTTTCTAGAGGGTGAAAGTTTATCAACATTACCGTCAAACTTCCTATCAAGTTGCTCGTGTTCTATGAGTCCAGTCAATCTCGATTCTGCTACACTGATCATTTTCACGTGACTTTTCAGGAGTCCGGTCTGGTCGCATGGATGATGCTGATGGCCATTCGGTGTGAACAATCAGTTAGATTCATCATGCATGTATGGGACCACGGATGCGTACAATGTAGCCGTCCCTTCTTACACGCGGCTACACCGTCAATCAACTGGACGGCGTATTCAAGGCCCAGCCATTTGAACGCCATTTGCCACTCGAACGGTCAGTAGCCAGCACAAGATTTGCCTAAAAGGGAAAACAAAAACAAGCAGCAGTCAGCACACAACGGAGCGGAGATCAGCCCTGAGACTGGGACTGCAACTTGGTGGCTCGTCGGTGATTGGAACCACCAACCGGCAGGGCAACCGCCGTCCCTGCCATTAGTTATTACTGCGAACAAACTTGGCGCTTGTCCTTCAATTCACCACAGTGCAGCGTGTACAACCACACCAGCCAGATCTGGCAGCGCAGTGCAGTGCAGCAGCACAGTGAAGTGAATGGGACTTCCCGTTGGCCTGGCCGCAGCAGTAAGAAATAAGTTTACTTCCTGTGGATTAGACGGACCCTTTGGCACCGCAGCAGCAATAACTCGGCTCTCCGCTCTCTGCTCTACCAGTAAAAAAAATGGAGCCTTCTCAGGCCAACTCCACCGCGCGACCCCAAACGGACGTCCGCTTTGTCCGGATTCTATCCGTTTGGGTAAGGATTTGGAGTCGTGTACTGAGATGCGGTGGCCGTGCGCCCAGCGCGCGGCCGCATCCATTTACCCCATCCTGTCCGCGTCTACTTAAAAAACTAAATGCAACGTTTCAAATGCTTCAGGCTAGCGGTCTCGGTTCATCAATGCCGGCAACAGAGCCAGCGGCCTACACGTCCATCGCCGGCATCAGCCAGCGGCCGGCAACACAGCCAGCCTTCAAAATGAATAGTTCTCCTCGTCGGCAACACAGCCAGCGGCCGGCAACACAGCCGGCCTCCAAAATGAATGTTTTCTCGCCGGCACACTACCAACGGCCGGACGGGCGGCACCCATGCCAGCCTCAAAAAGAATGGCCACGCCGATCGGACGACCTAGTTCAGGCCTTCGGCGTCGAGCATCTCCTTCTGCCTGGCCTCGAACCAGGCCCTCGTCTTGTCGCTCATCTTCGACAAGTCCACGCTCATGACCGCAAGGGTCACCTCCTTCGCTTTGGTGGCGGCATTGGTGGCCTCGATGTCGAGCTGCCTCTGCCTGGCCTTGACGTTGTCGGCCTCGATGTCGAGCTGCCTTTGCCGGGCCGCCTCCTCCATGTCGAGCTGCCTTTGCCGGGCCGCCTCCTCCATGTCGATCTTCCTCCTCTTGGCCGCCTCCTCCATCTCAAGCTTCTGTCTTTGAAGGTTTAGGTATTGCTTCATTTGCTCGTCCTTGCTTTGCCGCTTCTTCTCGTCCCTCACATCCTTTTGAGACATCATGCCATGCAAAGTCTCATGCAAGGTCATGGATGAGGCATCACATATGTCGTCCACCTTGGAGTTGGTCTTGCCCCTCGGCCTCTTCAACGCCTCGCCATCTCCACCTCCGGCGAACTTGGCCGTCTTCAGTCCTCTCTTCCTTTGTAGTTCACGGCATTGGTCCTTGAACTTAGGGCACATGTTGATGAACGTCCAACAATGCGTAAGAGTGAATGGCTTGTCATTGTGCCGGGCCTTGAATACCTTCAAAGATTGGAATGCCTACACCACATGATCAACAACAAGTGAACATGCAAATATATACACGGCCGAAGTCTCATGGCCGTAGCAAGGAAAGGGCTAGAAAGAGGAGATCATACCATGTCCCCAACGCCGAGACCACTCACGGGCCGTGCTTCAACGCTCTCAAATGCGGCGCAATACTTGTTGCACTCTTGTTGGATGAACAACCATCTTTTTTGAATCGAGCCGATGCCACGGTTGCTTGTAATTTTGAAGGGCTCAAACATCTTCCTTTCATGGAATGTTTTGTGGACTCTCGTCCAAAAAACAATGCCCTTTTGTTGCGCGCCGGTCCTCGGATCTTGGCTAATCTCCATCCAAGCTTGGCAAATCAACTTGTCCTCATCTTGTGTATATGAACCCGTGCGAATGCTCTTCCTCTTCTTTTGTGCCTCCGCTCTTTGGGTGAGCTCGTCGATAAACAATGGCGCACCACTAATATCAACGTCATTGCTTTCTTCTTCTTCTTCATCATCTTCGACATAGATGTCACCGTCTTCATGCCACGAGTCACCATGGTCGTAGTCAGCACGGTCGTGCCCACCTTCATCGGGGACGTACTCGGCGCGGCCATCCTGACTTTGGGTCTCACCAGGGTCGTAGGCACGGCCATGCCCACCGTCGAAGATCACGTCCTCCATGTAGCGGTTGTAGAAGGGGTCGTCGACCGCTGGCGTTGGGGTTGGCATTTCGTCAAACAAGACGCGGGGGGGCGACATGGTGCCCGTGAACGGTGCCCGTGCCTGCTTTCTTAGCATCTCGACGGACGGCCGCCCGCCGCTGCTGGACCCAGGCGTGACGTTGAGGTCGATGACGGCCGCGGGGCGCGGTGTGGACGGCGCGAACACGTCCGGCGACCCCGAGAAACGGGTTTGGCCGTCGTGCCTTGGCGGAGGGAAGCAGGGCGACATGGGCGCGGTGCGCGACGTCGGCGACTGGTAGTGCGTAGGCCGGGCGACCGACGAGCCTGTGCTCGCCGGGCCGACGGCCGATGCAGGGAACCCGGCAGGACGGCCCATGCCAAGCATGAGGATGGCGTGCGCTTTGTTGACGAGGTCCTCCTTCTCGTCGGCAGCGGCCTTGCGCCGCGCGGCCTCCAGCTCCTCGCGCTGGGCGGCGAACTTGGCCGCGGCGGCATTGACCTTGACGACCGCTCTCCGTTCCCTCCTCTTCGCCGATTCCGCGTCCAACTTGTCGATCTCCTCCGGCGTGCACTCCGACCGCGGCTTCTTTGGCGCCTTCTTCTTCACCTTTGTGGGCGGGTCGACGGCCAGGCCGCCGGAACTCGGCGGGGCGTCGGCCATGGACGGGGGAGAGAGGGGGCGGCGGG